GCGGGGCTCGATCCCAGGACTCTGGGATCATGACCTGAGCCGAAGGCAGACGTTTAACGACTGAGCCACCCAGGCGCCCCTCATTCTTTTTTATGGTTGAGTAATATTCCATTGTGTATGTGTATATACACACAATGGATAAGGAAGAGGAGAGCTAGATATATATTTATATATTTATATTTTTACATATCTAGCTCACATCTTCTTTATCCATTCACCTATGGATGGACACATGGGTTGCTTCCATATCTTGGCTATTATACATAATGTTGCAACATACATAGGGGTGCATATATCTTTCCGAATTAGTGTTTTTGTTTTCTTTGGGTAAAGAAAATTGGGGTAAATTCCTAGTAGTGGAATTACTGGATCATATGGTAATACTGTTTTTAATTTTTGAGGAACTTCAGTGCTGTTTTCCGTAGTGGTTGCACCCCCACCGACAGTGCAGGAGGATTCCTTTTTCTCCACATCCTCACCAACACTTGCTACCTCTTGTCGTTTTGATTCTAGCCATTTTGACGGATGAGAGGTAATACCTCATTGTGGTTTCGATTTGCATTTCCCTGATGATTATTGATGTTGAGAATCTTTTCATGTGTCTGTTGTCCATCTGTATGTCTTCTTTGGAAAAAATGTCTATTTGGGTCTTCTGCCTATTTTTAATTGGATTATTTGTGGGGTTTTGCTGTTGGTTTGTATAGGTTCTTTATATATTTTGGATATTAACCCCTTATCAGATATATCGTTTGCAAATATCTACTTTCATTCAGTAGGTTGTGTGTTCATTTTGTTGATTATTTCCTTCACTGTACAAATGCTTTTTATTTTGGTGTAGTCCCAATAGTTTATTTTAGCTTTTGTTTCTCTTACCTGAGGACACATATCTAGAAAAATGTTTCTTTTGGCTGATGTCAAAGAGGTTACTGCCTATATTTTCTTCTAAGAGTTAATGGTTTCAGGTCTCGCATTTATGTCCTTAATCCATTTTGAGTTTATTTTTGTGGGTGGTGAAAAAAAGTGGTCCATTTTCATTCTTTTGCATGTAGCTGTCCAGTTTTCCCAGCACCATTTGTTGAAGAGACTCTCTTTTTTTCATTGTATATTCTTGCCTCCTTTATTGTAGATTGACCATATAAGTGTGTGTTTATATCTGGGCTTCTATTCTGTTCCATTGATCTGTGTATCTGTTTTTGTGCCAGTACCATATTGTTTTGATTACTACAGCTTTGTAGTATATCTTGAAATCTGGGGTTGTGATACCTCCAGCTTTGTTCTTCTTTCTTAAGATTGCTTTGGCTATTCGGGGTCTTTTGTGGTTCCATACAGATTTTAGGATTATTTGTTCTAGTTCCATGAAAACTGCTGTTTGGTATTTTGATAGGGATTGCATTTAAATCTCTAGATTGCTTTGGCACATTTTAACAATATTGGTTCTTTCAGTCCATGAATATGGAATGTCTTTTTATTTGTGTCCTCTTCAGTTTCTTTCATTAATGTCTTACAGTTTTCAGAGATGACAGGTCTTTCACCTCCTTGGTATTTTATTATTTTTAGTGCAGTTATAAATGGTTCTTAATTTTTCTTTCTGCTGCATTATTAGTGTACAGAAATGTAGTAGTTTTCTGTATATCAGTTTTGTGTCCTGCAACTTTACTGAATTCATTTATCAGTTCTAGTAGTTTTATGGTGGAGTCTTTAGGGTTATCTATATGGAGTATCATGTCATTTGCAAATAGTGAAAGTTTTACTTCTTCCTTACCAATTTGGATGACTTTTATTTCTTTTTCTTGTCTGCTTGGCTGTGGCTAGAACTTCCAGTCCTGTAACAGTGGTGAGAATTGACATCCTTGTTCCTTTACTGATCTTAGAGGAAAATGTTTCAGTTTTTCAGCATTGAGTATGATGTTAACTGTGGGTTTTTCATGTGTGGCCTTTTATTAATGTTGAGGTATGTTCCTTCTAAACCCACTCTGTTGAAAGTTTTTATCAAGAATGGGTGTTATACTTCATCATATGCTTTTTCTGCATTTAAGGAGATGATTGTATGGTTTTTATTCTTTCTCTTGTTAATGTGATGTATCATGTTGATTGATTTGTGAATGTTGAACCACCCTTGCATTGCTAGAATAAACCCCACTTGACTGTCGGGAAAGATCCTTTTAATGTATTTATTGTTGGATTTGGTTTGCTAATATTTTATTGAGAATTTTTGCATTTATGTTCCTCAGAGATATCGGCCTATAGTTTTGTTTTGGTAGTATCTGTCTGGTTTTGGTATCAGGACAGTGTTGGCCTCGTAGAATGAACTTGGAAGTTTTCCCTCTTCTTCTGTTTTTTGGAATAGTTTGAGAATACATATTAGCTCTTTCTTAAATGTTTGGTAGAATTCACTTGTGCAGCCATCTGATTCTGGACTTTTGTTTGTTGGCAGTTTTTTAAATTACTGTTTCATTTTCATTGCTAGTAATCAGTCTGTTCAAATTTTCTATTTCTTCCTGATTCAGTTTTGGAGGGCTCTGTTTCTAGGAATTTTACCCATTTCCTTTAGGTTGTTCAATTGTTGGCATATATAATTTTTCATAATATTCTCTTGTAATTTCTTTTTATATCTGTGGTGTTGGGTTTTTTTGTTGTTATTTCTTATGTCTTTTATTTTAGCCATTCTGACAAGTGTAAGGTGATATTTCATTGTGGTTTTGATTTACACTAATTTATTCTTACTGATTTCTTTTTGTGTGTGTGGTGTTGGTTTTTATTTCTCCTCCTTAATTTCTGATTTTATTTGAGTCTCTTTTTTTCTTGAGTCTGGCTAAAGGTTTACCGATTTTATCTTTTCAAATGACTAGCTCCTAATGATATCAATATCAAGAGTTTTGTTTTGAAATGATGTCCTATAATAGTAGTTTTCATAGTTTTTTTTAAAAGTATTTCAGTAAAAAATAAGAAATCCAATATATTGAGCAGATAAAAATAAAATTACTCTGAAGCAGTGACCACTGCCCTTTACTTTGTGGGCAGAATGCCTAAGAAGATTCCATTAGAAATCACTGTTTTATAGAATTAGTGATATTCTTTTTTTTCTTTCTTGGTGTTACTTTATAATTTCTGAAGGATTTTGCAAGATGAGTTTTTCAGTCTTGGAGTAATTTTAGTGTGAATTAATTTAGAATATCTGCTTGTGTATAGTGCTTGCATATTGTGGTTATTTTTGAACCTTTTGTGATTTTTTTCTGTGTATTATTTTGGTTGTGACATCTTAGAAGTTGTTATCCAAATCTTTTTATAAGAAAATGTCCTTGCTAATGTTCCATTATAAGTTCTTTTGATTGGATTAATTTAAAAATGATTCATTTTACATTTTTAAATAGGTAATACAATCATATGGCACAAAATTCAATAAGAATAAATGCTTTTACACTGAAATGTCTCCCTTCTCTGTTAACCATCCAGGTCTCCTTCTCTGAGACAGTTAATACTAGTTTTCTTGGTTTCTTTTGTATCCCTCTAGTAAAATGTAATACTATAAATATATTAACATACAAACACATGCATTTTTCCCTCTTTTTTTTTTTTAACATGGAAAGGGAGCATGTTGTATACATTGCTATGTTGCCTTGTTTTATACCTTGCTTTTTTTTTACTTAAGAACTGCTCTCCAAGATAGATTGTTATCATTACATAACTGTATTGAGTTTTATCAAGGAGGAGGAGGATCATAGTTTATTTAACCAATTTCTTCTTGTTAATGATTTCTAGTCTTCTGTTATTTCACTCACTGCTGCAATAAATATTCTCGTTCATGTCATTTCACATGTGTATGAATATGTTTGTAGGATAAAATTCTACAGGTTCTGCAAGTGTTGTTACTGACTCTTAAGGATAATAGATAGCATTTGTAGTTTTGGTAGATATTGCCAAATTGCCCTACATAGAAGCTATTAACCTCTCACCAGCAAAGTATTAGTATCTGTCTTCTTACACCATTATTCAACAGTATGTTAGTAAGCTTTTGTCTTTGCCAGACTGATGATGAGGAATGGTTTCTCACTGTAGTTGTAATTTGCATTTCAATTATGAATGAAGTCAAACATTTTTTTCTTATGATTAACAGACTTTTTCCTATTTCATCATCTACATATCTTTTGCCCCTTTTTTTTCTGTTGGGCTGATTAGTTTCTTTTTTTAAAATAAATTTTTGAGAGAGCACATGAGTGGGGGAAGGAGAAGAGGGGGAGGGAGAGGGACAAGCAGTGGGTTGATTGGTTTCAATTTTCTTAATTGATATACAGGAGTTCTTTATCTTTTGGGAGAATTAGGGCTTTGCGAAATGATTTGCAATTTTTTTTCCACTTTTGTTATGTATTTTGACTTTTCTCATGGTGGCTTTA